GATAGGGCACACATCGAGAAAACCAGAGAACAGCATAAGTACAATGTCTTTGCATTGGAACCCACAGGGGGCATAGGAATAAAGGAAGGCCAAAAAACACATGGAGAAGAGAGCTGGAAAATGAAGTTAGAAAGATGGGGAGGACATGGGGAGAGCTCCATATAATAGCGAAGGATAGAACGACTTGGCGTGAGTTGGTTGAGGGCCTATGCTCCATTGGGGGACAGAAAGGCAGAAAAATAATTAATAAAGCTGTTGCTTAAATTTATTATTTGTTGCAGTTTAATTTTGTTTTTCTATATCATCATCTTACTTTCTCTCTTGTGCTTGTATATGTATGTGCGCATGGGTGTGTGTGTATATATATATATATATATCTTCTTCAGCGATCTCTGGTCATGCGCATAATCCACTGTGGGTCATTTCTTCTTCTTCTTCTTGTTCACCGGCTGTGAATTCCGGCGGTAAGTCACGGTTGTTCGTCCAAAATGGACTTTTGGCTTTTACCTTGACCTGAGTTTTGCGTGTACATCCGTTTTACTGGCTTATTTGTTTGCAGTACTCGTTCCCCGCCTCTCCGGCAGATGTACTCCGACTTCGGAGGAAGACGTCAAGCCTATTTCTAGGTTGACTGTGGCCATTGTTTTGTGTGGGTCGAGATGTTGCCTTATTTGTGTGGTGTCCTCTTTGACTTTTAACAGGTGTGGCCCCCGGCATGTCGTCCTTAAGGCAGCTCTATGTAGAGTTTTCAGCCCTCAAGGGAAGGCAGGGGCAGATCATGGGCATTCCCCGCCATCCAAGGAGGCTTCCATAAATGCAGAGCCGACACATGATGCTCTGGTTCTGGGCTCACCCAAGGAATCGTCACGTCCTGCCCATGACTGCTTAACCTCACAACCGTGTATTGAGCTTCCCTCGCTATAAGGCTGCGCTCTCTGGAGATCAGCGGGGAGCAGCCCGCAGGTCTAGGACGTTTGTGGCCACACAAATAGGTACATTCTTTTTCATCTTACGTTAGACACCTTTAACGTTGTTTCAGCTGTGCCCTTAGCACGACAGAATGGGGAAGCAAAATGCGTCAGGCGTGGCTTCACCTGTTTGGTCCCAACACTCGGGCGAGTTGGACCAGCGGATACGGACATTCAGACTTTTCCTAATCGGTACGAGTTATGATCGTCGGACTTTGAGCTTGCATGTGTGCCGTGGGGTGTAACTTTGTCGGACATTGTTTTCAAGCCAGCATATGAGTAGTTGCTGCCATGGTGTACCTCAGCGCGGTGACGACGACACTGAGGATTGACAGAGGATGTACGTAGGTGGGATCTTGCTGCGAGAAGTCGCTCACAAGAGATGTTACTCGTCTTGGCTGCGGGTAAATCTCTCGGTAAGGGTTGAGTCTCAGCAGCACAGTTTTCCATTCGCTCCCGAATTTTAACCAAGAGTTGTAATTTGATGGTACATTTAGCAAGCAGTTCTTGAGTTTTGTTACTTTTCACCCATGCGTTTGGGGGCGGGCTGGTGAGAGCCAGAAAGGACTCTACACCTCTAGGGACCGCCAGCTCCGAGATCCCCTGCCAACTCTGTTAATGCTCATTTGAGACATTATCCGTGGCGCACGACTTGGACGTGCAACAGGAGTCTTGCATGAGGTTCCGTAAAACCAGAACAGTGAAGGACTGGCGCCCGAGTGGGGTACAGAATATCTCCTTATACACATCACATCAGACTTAACTTCCCCTAATGCCTGTGACCGAAATCACCGCGCCACACTGTGGGTCATAAACTGGGATGTCTTTTCATGGTCTCTTAGGTTTCCCCAAAGCTTAGTTGTCAGTTCTACTGGGTGTTGCCATATGTCGCTCAGCAGCTCCGCCAGGAGAGGACAGTCTTGCAGGACATGTTCTGGAGTCTGTTCAGCACGAAGACACTGGCAGAGAGCTGTTTGGCTCATACCTAATTTATATGAGTGTTTATTGAGTCTGCAGTGTCTAGTGCGTAAGCGAAAAACTGTGACTTGGTCTGTTCTGTTCAAGTGCATCAGAAAATCTTTTCCGTAGTCATAACCAGTGTTGTTTTTCCAGTCTGTTTCTGATTTTCTCTTAATGAGAGTTTTGACTTCTGGAAAAGATAGTGGCTGGTAGGTCTGTAGTTTGTTACTGCCTTCCTTGGCTAAAGCATCTGCGCTTTCATTGCCTTTGATGCCGCAGTGAGACGGAATCCACTGCAAGTGAATTTCTGCCTTATTTGACAACATAGCAAGTTCCTGTGTTATACTTTGTAGTGTGCTGTCGGTAGGTTTGGACTCAAGAGCCTGTACAGCTGACAGTGAGTCAGTGAGAAAAACTATCCTGCCTGCGGTGATTTTCAGATTGTTCATATACTGTGCTGCCATCAATAGAGCTGAGAGTTCTGCCTCGTAGTTAGAGCAAGTTCGTCCGGTGGGGGCTGCTAGGGACACAGTAGTGGCATCTGGGTGTTTTATGTAGACACCTGCCCCACCATTCGTAGTTGCCTCTTTTGCTGATCCATCCGTGTAGATTCTTGTCCAGCTGTCCTGTGGGAACATGTTGTTGAGGTGTTCCATTGTGAGTGCTTTCTTCACTAAAACGGGCTCAGCATCTTTGTTTCCCAGGTTCGGGATGGATGTTGACACATTGAGTGTCAATAATTCGGAGTCCCAGAGATCGAAAGATAGCTCTTCAGGTGTACATTGTTGGTTAAGTAGTGAAGAGAATGACTTTCCAAATTCCTTCGTTAGATGGTTTAGGCTTGTGCGCTTTATTCTGTTTTTTGTCCTGGCTGCCAATTTTTCGTGTAATGGGTGGTTTAACATTCTCTTCATTTTTTCAGCATGTAGAATTGCTTTTGTCCTTCTTCTTTCTTCTAAGGGGATGATGTTGGCTGCCTTTTCCATTTCTACAATAGGTGTAGATTTTATGGCTCCCAGAATTGTACGCAGACTTCTATTTTGCGTTTTGTCTAGTATCTGTTTATTGGAATGGGCTGCTGTTATCCATGACGATGATGCGTATTCGAGAGTTGGTCTGACTGTGCCGGTGTATACCTGCTTCAAGATACAACTGTCTGCTCCCCAAGTGGTGCCTGCCAATTTCTTCATCACACCTTGTTTTCTCATGGCTTTTTTGTTAGTTTCTAGTATGTGATGTTTCCATGTCAGACGACTGTCAAGCTTGACTCCCAGGAAGGTTGGAGTATTGGAGCGTGGAACAGCATCATTGTTGAGTTTTAATGTAAACTTTTCCTCCTTTGTAGACAATGAGAAGAGTGTTGCTACAGTTTTGTTCCTGTTTACTTCGAGGCCCCATTTGTTGGCCCAGTTTATGACACTATTCACACTTTCCTGGAGTTTTGATATAGCAGGTCCAATGAACTCAGAGGTGTACCACACAGCTAGGTCATCTGCATGAAGAGAATGTGATACATGTCTGGGTAAAGTTTGAGGTAGGTCGTTGATGTAAATCAGGAACAGGACTGGAGACAGTACACTACCCTGTGGTACTCCTGCTCTCAGCTTGAATCTGGGATATATATATATATATATATGTGTGTGTGTGTGTGTGTGTGTGTGTGTGTGTGTGGGTGTGTGTGAGTTTGAGAGTATATGGTGTACGCGCTTGTATGTTTATGTATGAGCATGAGTGCATTATTGTATATGTATGAGTGTGTGTATGTATGTATATGTATGGGTGTGCTTGTGTCTATGTACATATAGGCATATAAAAGTGTATGTGTACATGTATATTCGCAGTGGGTATGATTGTGTATACATGATGTGTGTAGCATTATTTTGTTATGTATTTTTATATATATAAACTCCAGTCTGAAAGATAAGTGCTTGAAAAGGCCAAATGTAAGACGGGCCTGCCTACTTAATTTGTAACATTCTGAGAATAAAGTTTGATCGTTTGTTCATTCTCTTGTCTAGTAGTTTCCAAGTAAAGCAAATATCTGTATTCTACCTCTTCTGTTACTTTTTCTGCTCTTTATCCCCCCACTGGAGCGTTGGCCCTCAACCAGCCCATGCCAAGATGGGACATCCTTTACTACTGCATGCAGCTCACCATGTCCTCCCCATCTGTTATAACTACACTCTCTAGCTTCCTTTTCCATGTGTATTTTGATCTGCCCTTTTTTTTATACCTCAGTGGATTCCAGTGTAAAGCCTTCCAGTTATTTTGTTCTCAGGTTTTCTCAACATGTGTCTTATCTAATGTGTTTTCTTCACTTTCTGATTCAGTGGAAACCCTTCTGTTTAAATGCCACATACATTTGATTTAAACTTGCCTTATGTTGTGATGGGGAGTCACTATGGCATTGGCGGCTAGACGCCCACCTGCAGATCGGAAGGTCGTGGGTTTGCATAAAAAAAATGACCTTGACTCCCAGGTCGACACAGCCTTGAGTGGGTTCCAGGTGCAGTCATGGGAAGTAAAGGTGACTGGCCTGATGCTGACCACATCACCCACCAAGTGCTGATTGGTCTATTAAAATATAGTTCTAGCTCTATATTCCCAATACGCCTCAAGGCGTAGAAAAGGGACCTTTAGTTTTTTACTTTACATTTTGATGAGTGATTTAAAATAAACAATCTGTACAGAAATTAACATCTTCTCCAAACTTATCATCATAAAATAGTTTTAATGTCTGCACAAGAATATCAGCTGGTTACAACATTATTCAATATGAAAATCACACTTTCCAACATTTCCCAAACTAGGCAAATACGACAGTAACACAAAATTTTCATGATCCAAATTAACGACAACAGCACATAATTTTCATATCCCGAAAAAATGCAAAATTACAAAAGAATGAGGAACAGATCATACCCCTTATACTATTTTGCTACTAAACACAGAAAAAAGCTGAAATCCAAATTATTTTCTGAACGGATCCTCTACAAAAGTTCTCTGTTTCACTAACATATGAGTATAATGTAGATTTGAACAATGCAGTCAGAAGTGACTTCACTGACATCATCAACTTTCAAACTTTCCGAGAAGGTCACCATCCTTGAATAAGTAATATTCCTGAAATTACAAGAAAAACACAAAATTGTATCATCTGCAGCTTTAAAATAGCCATAAATTTATGCTGTTATTATTAAATGATGAAACCCAAGTGTAAATTTAATTGAAAGTAGCATAAAAAAACAAAAACTGCAATAATAAATAAAGCATATTATGTCATGGGGAGTCACCGTGGCCGAGCGGCTAGATGCTCGCCATAGATCGGTGGCCGAGCGGCTAGATGCTCGCCATAGATTGGTGGCCGAGCGGCTAGATGCTCGCCACAGATCGCAAGGCTGTGGGTTTGCTCCTTGGCGGAGCCGGACTTTTAAAAAAAATGACCTTGGCTCCCAGGTCGACCCAGCCTTGAGTGGGTACCGGGTGCAGTTCTAGGAAAGTAAAGGCGGCCGGCGTGATGCTGACCACATCACCCATTCTGTGCCTGTGCCAACTGGTTTATAAAAATATAAGTTTAGCCGTATATTCCCTATAGGCCTAAAGGCGTGGAAAGGGGTCCTTTACTTTACTTTACTTATTATGTTGTGCAAGATACTTTAGAGTAAAACAGCAAATCTCATTCAGAAAAATACTAGAAAATATTAAAAGCAGAGTGTGCATCAGAAATTTATAGAGCACACAGCAAGGATCCGGATCAGTGCTACACTTTGAAAACAAAGTGGTTAAGAAAAATATATGGTCCTGTCACAGATAGTAATTAGTACAGTCTTAATTTTCCCTGGGGTTGTCCTGTAAAAGGGTGGCTAGCAAACTGCTGCATTGTACAGCTAGGCTGAGATATCTACACCTTTTTGCCAAAAACATTGGATTTCAACAAACCCTTGATTAGTTACCTTTGACAACATGCACGTTAAAGGACAGTAGGTTTATCCCCACCCCCTTCTTCCCCCTATGGAGTCCTGCTGTTGTAACAGCACTGCACAGATTATAAAGGAACTGCTGCAAATTTGTAAATACCCTTCAGTTGTTTTGTGTGTACATAATATTAATTAATCTTGCTCTACCTTTCAGAGTTACAATTGGAAATTTATATTCTTTTGACATTGATATGACTGGTCCAAATCATGGAAGAATGAATCAATCAATCAATCAAAAACTGACATCTCTACATTCGGGAAATTTCCATGCATGCTCCGTCTCCTTTTTCAGTAGACAACGAAGAGCTGATATGCTAATACCCGGAAGAGAACAATCTAAATCCCTCTCCCAAAGCAGGATTATTAAAACTGTACACAAAACAATTTACCTTTTCTTCAAAGGACACCTTTGTTCCTCCATACTGTGGAAGCAAGACTCTGTCACCAACCTTGACACTAGGAGGAACAACATTACCATTCTGCAACATCCAGGAAGGAGAAATTATTACTGTCCTTGTCATTAAAGTATTCTACAACATGTAGTTTGCAGTGCAAGGACAAGGTGATTTACTGATTTAGGAATCAACATCAAAACACACTGGGCATTCTCACAGGTGCTCCATCTCCCACAGCAAATATCTAGTCTTAAGGTGCAGATGCTGATTATAAACTCATCATTCCTTTCCTCTCGTAACGTCCCACCTAGCCTGCTCCACATTTAATTCTTTGTTCATACTTTCTTACGCGTTATTTTATCTAAGCTTGTGATTTCTATCAGCCTCCCCAAGAAGCATGTCATAAGAGTCGATTAACTGAGGGTTCCTTAGAAGTCAGAGTGCATCTGCCTGAGAAGCAAGGAACCAACAGTCTGCATACAAAAAAATTAATCAGATCTGTAAAACGGATGTGCACACACCACTCAGGTTCTTGTTCTCTAGTCTGGTTCCAGTTCCCGAGTGTTGTGTGCACATCCATTTTACAGATCTGACTTTTTTATTTGTATGCAGACTCTTAGCTTCCTGCCTCAGGCAGAAGCACTCTAACTGTGAAGGATTTCTCCAATTACTCAGCTCTTATGACATGCTTGTTGGGGAGGCCATGGGTCTATTCTTGTTTTTCCCATGTGGCTCCGGAAACCATAAGAAGTTAAGGACCGATATCACAGTGCTCTGTCATCTTTAGCAGAGCTGCAGTATCAGTGGGGCCAGCAGTAGTCTGGTTATATGTCTATCCTGCCTTTCCTCTTCAGTGTTGAGAGTCGGCCAGATCCTCTGGCAACATTCCCCATTGCACCATTATTTCTAGATCATGATAATTTATCTTCTCCTATCTTGTCGCCTTTTACCCAACTCCCAGGACCACATCACCCTGTCATGTACCATCAAGTGGCACAAAACCATCTAATCTATCTATTTATTTGTTTTCCGACACACCATCATACCCTGGAAAAAATATCCAAAGGTTGCTCATTGCCTGCAATTTTTTGAAGTGATACTTTCCACTCTGCATAAAGCATACTAGTCTCCACCTTTCTCAGAATGCTTTGTGTGTCCTATACAATCAAATGTGTGTTTCTCACCATTACAGAAAGCTGAAGTGACTGCCTCCATTCTCAAACTACAGTAGAACCTTGCTTATATCCGGCTTAGTTTAAAACAAAAAATTCTGGGTAATGAAAAAAGGAATAATTTACTTTGACAAGTTGTTGCAAGTGTGGGACACGTGATTTTTTATTTTTGTTTTTCTGCTTTTAAGTTAGACATTATACATGTTATTTCACAATGTGAACAATATTTTTGTGGGGAAAACAAGAACAGACCCACTGCATCCCCAACAAGCATGTCGTAGAAGTCAACTAATTGGGGGCTTCCTTCAAAGTCGGAGTGCATCTGCCAAAGCAGCAAGGAATATCCAACTGCACACAAATATGGCAGTAAAAGAGATGTAAACGCAAAACTCAGACCCTGGCACAAAGCCAAAGTCCAAAGGGACGAACAACCAGGACTTTCCACTAGAGTTTACAGCCGGTAAACAAAATAGAAGAAGATGGTAAGGACATGGGGTGAGCTGCATGCAAGAGCAAAAGACAGGATGACTGTCTTAACATGAGTTGGTTGAGAGTCAATACTCTATTGGAGAATAAAGGGCAGAAGTCACAAAATGACACTAATTAAATTGAATATTTTTCAGTGAAAATAAAGAAAGACAGCCCATTATATTTTGGGTAGAAATTAAAAATAATAATCAACCTAAATTATCCAGAAAACTAAGGAACAAAATTTGTGGACAGACGTGAATGCCTGTGCCATCTTACAAGGTGCATGATGATGATGATGTTAGTACATTAGTAAAATATTCTATAATTTCTGGGAATATGTAATCATTGTCATTATTCAATAAAAACTTAGGTAAAAGGGAAAAAAACTGCATTTGATTTATTTACCTCCTTTCTGGCACCTGGTCCAACAGCAATCACCGTTGCCTCAGCCGCTCTTCCTGCTGCACTTTCTGGAAGCATTATTCCCCCTTTTGTCGTAAGCTCTGGTAGAAATCTTTCCACTAGTACTTTGTCAAACAGGGGGATGAACTTCTTTAATGCCTGTGCCTGCAAAAATTAATGTTAGTCACTTGAAGAACATCGCAAAACAACCTCAGTATTTGTTTATCGGTTGTTTTTCTTTGCAAATTTACATAGAGTAGCTCCATGTGGGGGTTCCGGGGCCCCCAATTGCTGGAATGAATAGACCCACTGCTCCCCAACAAGCCTGAGTAAAGTCAAATAATTAGGGATTTTTCCTTCAAAGTTGGAGTTTTACAGCCAGTAAATCTAAGAAGAAGAAATAAGAAGACATTCAGTAGTTTGCCACTACTTTCTTAATCGTTTTTTTAGCACCCTTGTTGAAAGAAATCTAAAGCATATACTGGGAATCACATCTAAATCGAACTGGCTACTTTAGATGACTGAATCTGCAACCATGACCAGACTGAAAGAAAAATATGTTAAAAGGAGTGTGGCCAGACAACAGCACTATGCAGTAAGCCAAAGAAGAAAAAGAAACCAACCCTGCCAGCCTATCAGCTCTTTCATTGCCAAAAACACTTGCATACCCTGGTACAATTATGACTTAAGTAATAGCCAGTGTCTTCTTTCTTTGCTAGAAAAACAAAAGTTGTCCATACTCGACATAACAATGTGTATTAAAATACAGTGCTGGAACTTTGGGACTCTGGCCTATTGAGCATCCCCCATCCAATTTTTTTTTGGGGTAAGGCCTCAAGCCCCACCTCAATTTTTTTAGGGTGAGGCCTCAAGCTCCCCCCACCCCCTCCCTTTTTTGTTGGGTGCAGTTACTCACCAAAAAGTATTCACATGTATTACTAGTAGTACATTCAATACTTAACTACTAGTACTACTACTACTGAGTTACTGTTAGTCAGACAGAGACAACATATAATTTATGATATATTATATATAACTATTATAATAATAATTACTGTTGTGAAACATACCATATTATTCATTTGCTATAATAAAAATAATGCAACAACACTTGTATTTGCGCCGTCTAAAGCAAACACCGCCGGACTGTTAGCAAACAATTATCGAATTATACACATATGGAGATTCAAGATTGGAGAAGTTACACTTTCACCGACCGTTACATGACCTTTTGGGATCAGCTCATTGTTCTTTAAATTGAGTCTGTATTTTATTTTAAATACTATATACTAATTTAAAATAGTTAGAACTAAGGCAAAATACATAAAATAAAGTACACCAGTGTTGTTTTAAATAGTGATTAAATATGATAATTGTTTAGCATATTTAACACGATTATTATTGGTGTGAATATTTCAACAGCCAGTCCCTATTCTTTCAGCAATTTCTGCTTTCCTATCATGAGAGATCAACTTCCACAGAACTACTAGCTCTCTCTTTGCGAATTTGCTTCTGAAAAGGAGCGAGGTAAGCCGGAGGGACTGGTGCAATTTTTGTCAATAGCATTTTTTTTTTTTTAAATTATGATCCCTATGTGCAGCTACAGACTATATCAGAAAGGATTTTAATGATAATATTTATGATTGAGTAGTTACCTCTGCTAGTTGCAAGATTAATATATTTTTAAAATGTCAAATGTTTGTGTCGTCGGCGACCATGGCGATGCCCACGTGGCTCAACATGGATGGCATGGTTGTCGTTTATTAAATTTGTAACCGACTGTAAGGAAAGTAACTGTGAATGTAAAGATAAATTGTAATAAATAATAAATCTGCATTCATAACATTTGTGGGAACAACTAAGCTAGTGAAAATAAGTGCGACAAGACAGTAGCACAAGAATTTGAAAAAAAGGCTATCCTACGACGAATGTGATTTAAAATGTGATGCTGAGAGGTTACTAAAAATGGCTGAAGAATCTCAAGACTTTTTTTCTGATTTTTTTTTTTTTTTTGGGTTGTCCTCCGACTAACGGTCAGTAAAGATGGCGGCCGCAAAATATCCTTTCGAGCCACAGTCACGTGACTTTGCGGTTCTCCGGCGACTACCGACACCGCCACGTGCCCCCCATGCCGCTCACGCAGTGTGAAATGGGGCTTAACTAGATGACTAGGACCCATGAGCAGCAGCGTGCGCAATTAAGTCACGTGACTGGCTTGAAGGGATATTTTGAAAACTTTCCAAAATGCAACATAAATGTGAGAGGGACAGGTGTGAAACAAGTCAGGATGTGTGAGTACCAAGATAGAAAGATATTGAAAATATATATTAGTCTACCCTCTGAATAACGGTCCCAAATTATCGAGGCCGAAAATATACCCTACATGTCAATAGGTACTTTAGTCAAATTTTCAAAATGCCCTCTACACCAATAAAACCAGCACAGTTAGATAGCTGTAAACAATCTCTTTCCAACGGTACCTCATTTAGGCTTGTATGTTATTTCTGAGCTGATATATGTAGGTTTTTGTCAAGATATGTAGAAAGCAGCTGCTAAAACTTGCCTCCCAGAAACAAGAGGTTTTCTCTGTACAACCAAACTGCGCAACTTTTGTTTTGGCTTTGTTTACATTGGACTGTCATTGGACAAGATGGCAGCCAATGAGACAGTCACTGGCTGAGCCAGCGATTGCCTGAAAAATATCACTGTACATCTACCTAGCCACTGTTCAGAAAGAAATTTTATACACAAATGTAAAATTGGACGGAGAATTCAATTATAACTAGCATTGCCAGTAACAGTTAAAGCCTAAAGCCAACCCTGAATACTTATCGCTATTTTCAATCAAACGGATGTAACAGAAAAACAGGACGTCCGGCTGTCGTAGACATGCGCTGTTAATCGGGTTCCTTCCCGCTGTTTTCAGCTATTTGGAGTGGGTAAAAATCACACCAATCGCAAAATTTCATGAGATTAGGACCCATCCCAAAACCCCAGCCGACATTTCTGAAGCAAGTTTCAAATTGTTTCCGTGGTAACAGAAATTGCCAAAAGATCGAAAATTTCCGGACACCGTAGTCGCTAATGTCAATTGCGGACTTCCAGGCGACTTAAATTGTTCACTTCCGTCACCGCTGATAGTATCTCCCCTGATACGCACAGCGTGGATTGGGGCTAAACTAGATGGCTGGGACTTGCGAGCAGCAGCTACTGTATCTCAGCAGCTTCCTTCATTTAATTTTTTGCTTGTGAGTTGGCACAGGAGCGGAGCAACGATGGGGTGACCTGTTTTGCTATAAAGCTGAAACTGAGACTACTAGTAGTAGTACTAATTGTCCTTTTTTTTTTCCACTGCTCTTTATGAAGAAAATGTTAAAAATGGCCAGTGTATTCCGATCTGACACTTCAGAGTTAGCTGCTACAAGAAAACGCTATGTCAAGTGTATAAAATGTTGTTTAAAATCAAGAGCAGCTTTGATCTTACTTGTACCGCAGCAGTGACAACAATGGGCCTTAAGGTTTGTAACTTTCATTGAACATCAATCCAGACTGCAGTAGCAGTCACAAATGCCAATAACTTGCTGTTAGAACAACTTTTCTGTTGTATTTTAAATATATTTTGAATAACTATTATGCTGGTCTGTCATTTAATCTAGTTTAATGTAACTTAACTCTGGCAAGTGCCGATGATTTTTAATGTGCTACACATAACCGGATTGATACAAAGCGTTCTTGCTTTGATATCTAACAAAAATGTGTTACATTAATTGCAAGAAGTGTTTTTATGCTGTGTGTTACGGCACCGCATGGCTGCTAAATGCTTACATTTAACATTGTTTACGCTTGTCCATATGGCTAGTGACTTCATGGCACAATATTCTTTTTGTCGGGTACTTAGAGAATTAAGACTGATCAGGTGGCATGTGCATTGGAAATATGGGTGAAGATAGCATGCAGTAGAGAACAGTGTGAATGTCAGATCAAGACAGTTGAGATCTTCATAGTGTATGTGCCGTAATGTTGCTTCATCATCTTTACAGTCGTGTGTGACTGGCCAAAGGCATTTTGCTCGTCTCCGTCTGTCTGTCTGTCTGCTGCTCCCTCCTCTTTGTGTCCATCTTCCCTTTCATCTCTGTGTGTGTCTCTGTCTCTTTCCCTTTTTGTGTCTTCCTTGCTTCTCTCTCTCTCTCTCTCTCTCTCTCTCTCTCTCGCTCTCTCTCTCTCTCTCTCTGTCCTTTTTTCTCTGCCTCACATGAAGGATGAATCTCCACCCAATAAAAAAACTTAAAATAAAATCCTCCTCTCTTACACATTACCGGATTGATACAAAGCATTCTTGCCTTGAGATCTAACAAAATGTGTTAAACTAATTGCCAGAAGGTTTTTTTTATGCTGTATAATTTGTAACAGTATTTCTACCAAAAAGCACACATTGCCTCTGTCCACTCTTTTAAGCAGGTTTTGTGTAGTGGGGAGGCTGGCATTTGTCTAAATATTTATTTAATTGCTGATTTTTCAATTCCTTTGAGTGTGCGTGTATGATACCTAATATTTTCCCTAAATTGTATATTTCATTACTTGTTCTTAATTGTTCAGTCTTGAGAATTATCTGTAATAAGCACGTTTATTTGTTTTGCTTTGGTTCTTCCACGTTCTTCTTTCACCTTATAAGTCAATTTTTTTTTCTAGAACTTTGCTGGAAACAGTGGTACACATTACCGGATTGATAAAAAGCTTTCTTGCTTTAATATCGAACAAAAATGTGTTACAATAGTTGCAAGAAGTATTTCGTATGCTGTGTATTTTGGTAGTGTTGTTACTGAGTGCATACATATTCTGCAATAACCCTCTTATTGGCTCTGGTAATGCAGCTTTGTCAGGTGCATTGTCAAGTACTTCAACACCTCTTGCTTGAAATATGAACACATGTTAAGAAAACACTAAACAGCCACCAACTCTGGTTTATTGTTACTCCATTGTTTCTCATTTAGTGTTTCAGCGGTTAGACGTCTAGAATGCAACCACACAGAACATTATAATTTGTTACCTGATAATAAGGGCACGCAGATGAACACTTCCAGCCAATGACACTTCAGATCTCACCTATCTGCATTCACTTGCACGACAGCAAACTAAGGGCATGATGGTAATGTTTTTTTTTGGGA